ATCTCAAAACAATGGGGTCCAACAGAAACCCCCCCAAATGGAACAGGACTTCAGCATCATCGTTTACATGGCAACAAGCTGCCCCGTGTCAAATCAGGGTTGCCAGGTAGCAGACGGTATGAGCGCGTGGGTGCGTGAAGGTCGTCTGACGACAGGAAGAGGGTATATGCAGGAAATACATTCACTGACAGTTTCTTTTTCTTTTTAAATATATATGAATACCTTATTCTGCATTGTAACTTCTATAATAATACTACTACTACTACTACTACTACTACTACTACTACTAGTTCTACTACTACTACTACTACTACTACTACTACTTCTACTACTACTACTTCTACTACTACTACTACTACTACTACTACTACTACTACTACCAGTGATGTGCGGTGAGGTTCATGAGGCACTGACTCACTGAGTCAGATTTACAAATATTATATTTTGACCTTAATCGAAATATTCGGTTATTTTCAAAAGCTTTTTTAGTCTGATGCTTCGATTCATTTTAAACAGACCGTTCAACAAAAGGATACCCAAAATCTAAATATTGGATTGTTCTTTCTTAGTAAGATCCCATTTTCATTACAAATGTGGTCTTACCTTGACTTGAAGATGAAGTCCATGCTATCCTTCTGGACAACAATCTCTATTACTTTTTTGTAAGAGTCCTCCTTATCTTCCTTTAGTTTCAAAAGTCTAGTCTGTTGTTTGCGTCTACCGTCTCTGCGTAGAATAACAGTAGCAACAAGAACCTGTGGGCTCACGTGCGCCCCCTTCAGAAAACCGTTCTCCATGACTTGACACTGTAAAATGACATTTCCCCATATATAATACCAACACACACACACACACACACACACACACACACACACACACACACACACACACACTTTTTTTTTACTGATGCTGTCCTTGAAAAAAAAATGACCTTAGTACTTAGACCTTTAGTCTTTGGAATTAATTATGACTTTACAGTTATTTAAAAATGCACCTAAGGTTAAAACATATGGAATAAAGTACAATGTATTCAAGTTGATACTAATCTTCATTTACTTTTAGTTCAGCTTTAGAAGCAGTGATGATATTCCATTAGTTTTCTAAGTTTATTTCTATAGCAGAAAACAGACTTTTAGTCGATTTATCAGGAAATGAATTCTACTTCAGGGTGTTTTTTATCATAACTGTAACATGTAACTCCATAAAGACTGCATTTTGGCCTGATCCATTTCAGTCTCATTGATTAGCGTGTAAGATCAAATCAAATCAAATCAAATCAAGTTTTATTTATAAAGTACATTTAAAAGCGATTTTTGGTCGAGCCAAAGTGCTGTACATGTAATAAAAACACATTACTACAATCACAATAGAAGACAATAATTTACAACAGATATATAATAAAACACAGGGAATAGTCAGGTGTCGTGCTCCACTCTAACTAGAAGGCCAGAGAGAAGAAGTGTGTTTTTAGAGTAGATTTAAAAACCCCTAGGGTCTGGGCCGACCTCACATGGAGGGGCAGAGTGTTCCAGAGCCTAGGGCCAGCTGCTGCGAAGGCTCGGTGCCCTCGGGTTTTGAGCCTGGTCTTGGGCACTACCAGCAGCAGCTGTTCAGCAGACCTTAAAGCTCTGGCTGGGGTGTAGCGCTGGAGGAGTTCAGCTATATAGGCCGGAGCCAGCCCATTTAGTGCTTTAAAAACAAATAAAAGGAGTTTAAAATCAATTCTGAACCGAACTGGAAGCCAGTGTAGTGAGGCCAGAATTGGGGTGATGTGGTCACGCTTTTTGTGGCCAGTCAGCAAACGTGCAGCTGCGTTTTGGACTAGCTGCAATAGTCCAGTCTTGAGGTAACAAAGGTGTTAATAACCCTTTCTAAGTCATTAAAAAAGATGTACAGAATACGAAGTGAAATCAGACGTTTGTTACCAAAATGTCGGGTGTTTTTGATGATATCTGAGAGGAAGTGAGGCTCTCCGCTGAGGAAGATCTTAGCAATGCTGTCCACCTCCTCTCGATCTGAAGAGTCCAGAACATGAGCGCCATGCACCAGGTGTACTGTAGATGAAAAGCAGAACCAGGTTGAAGCACTGATGAAGAGTGTGGGGGAAAGTTCTGAAGCAATTGGAAACTCAGAGAGACACGAGGAGAGCTGGAGCTTTGATGGCAAACACTGACGGTTTATTTGGAGCTTCGGCCGGAGAAGACATGTCACGGGGCACGAGTTGACCACACGGTTGAGGAGGCCAGTCTCACAAAATAGCTGTAATAGCTACGTGGGTCCACTGGGCAAAACGTAGTATATTCACAAATAACCCTCTCAAGACGTGACATGGATACAATATTTGTTCCTATTCATTTCTAATGACCAGTGTCCGTGTCACGTGATCGCAAACTTTCCCAGAGAGAAAAAAAAACATGGCGGACACCCGATTTATTTTTAGTTGAAAATCCTAAATTGTTGGATAGTTTGGCCGTTAAAATGCTTTTTGATTACATTTCTAGCGAGAAGTGTATATTGTACTTTCAGAATCTACGTCCAGTGGATGTGTAGGATCCATAGTTTGATAGATATTACCAAGATTATTTGAGCTCCATGTATTTGTTTACAAAATATTGTATCCATGTCACGTCTTGAGAGGGTTATTTGTGAATATACTACGTTTTGCCCTGTCGACCAACGTGGCTATTACACGTTTTTTGTGAGACTGTGTTGGGTTGAGATGCCAAATCAATTCTGAAGAACTCTTCCTCTGGTAGGAGGTTCTAACTAGTTTGCTGAGGGGAATCAACATTCTTCAATAGAAACTAAACAGCTGAGGACACTGAATCACTTGTAGTTGTCGCTTATGGCTAGAGGATCTTGCACCTCGGGGTCAGCTACACCCCGAGAAGGAAGTGTTCCAGGTGTCCCACAACAATAACTGTGGGGAAAATACTGAATGTTTTTTTAAGAGGTTACTCCAGATCAGATGTCACTTACAGGAATTATGTTGGTTGGCATGACTGGAAAGGACTCCACCTTTTCTTTTTAAATTCTTCGTTGCAAGAATGCACAAGTTAACAAGTGTGTTTTAAGAGCGCACTGATTGACTTCAAAACATTAATGTCATGTCTTCAGTTCCTGTTGAACAACATTCTGCCAGAGCCATCCAAGCTTAAAATGGCTATATTGACAGATTAATGGGACCAGTGGCGAACAAGTTGTGTTAATGAGACAATAACAGGCTACAGATGCGGACATATATACACACACAACTGAGAAGTTTTCAGGAATGTTTGCATCATACTTTAGGGGCTGGAGGAGGAGAAAAAGTATAAAACAGACGGAGCAAGACACGGCGCCACATCAGAGCTACTCCTGCAGGACCAGGACCAGGACCTTCAGAGAAGCATCAGTTGCCCCGGACCCCCAGGACCGCTAGAGTAGCATCAGCTGCCCCGGACCTCCAGACGGTGAGTCTCCGCTTATGTTTCTCCTCACGGTCCTGCAGCTCCGTCAGGAAGCCTCCTGTGACTCGGTGCAGGGACCAGTCCCCTCAGAAACACAGAGAATCCTGAAGAGAGGTCCGTGTGAATGCTGAATGCTGAGCTTTCTGAGTAACGTACGGGGAGCAGGTAGCAGCTGAAGTCTTACCAGTTTCTCCATTGACTTCTGTAGTGAAATGTGGATGAATTATGGTGAATATTATTCATAGCATTCCTAACTGAGATTAATGTTTTGATGTTTGAACCGAGTTTGTGGCTTGACGATGTGGAAGTAGTTAAGGTACAGAAAAGTGTACAGAAGACTAATAGAGGTAAAGACTTTTTGCTGTAGAAGAACGTACATAGTAAAACTTAATAAGTTGTGGTAACTTAAAAAAAGTATGCAAACTCATTGCCTCACAATAACTAAGGTAACTTAGTATGGTGAGTAGGAACAACTTGTTTATTAAGTACTAACACAACACTTTTAAGTTGTAAAAAAAACATACATTGCATTAACTTAAAGGTCACCTATCATGCATAAATATGTGTCCCCGGTGTGTCAGGAGACTCACAAAGGGGCGTGGCCAGCAGCAGCTCGGGTATGTTGGAAGCTACTACTGACCCAGAATCAGCTCTTTAGTCACAGGCCTGAAATAGAGGGGGATGAGGCTGCAATGATCTGTTTGGGCTTTGGAGCAAAGCACTTCAGAGACATGTTTTTTATATCTCTGAAACCTATAATATATGCCTAAAAATAGTATAACAGGAGACCTTGAACATATACCAAACAGTTGGCTTTATTGCTAGGTTCAATAAGTGAACAAAATGCACTTTAAACATGTCATGCAGGAGTAAGACAATGATTTAAGTAGGTACCTCCATATGATTATTGTGAATACATGATTAAAGGTTTTAGCCTAACCGTCTAAAACATGATATCACACATCACTTGTGGATTGTTATATTTTATAAATCTAAAAGTGTTCATTCATCTGAAGCACTTTGAGAGCATTATCAATAGGATATAAATATTGTGTGCTCTTGTAACAAGTGTGTGCATTTGTAAAGCATTGAAACAGAAACACACTGATTGTATAACTATTAACGCTAATGACACAGAAAGAAAGTTACATCTACACATCACGGTGGAATTGGCATTACTCCTGAAGTTACTCGTGCACAGTGCTGCCCCTGACAGAGTTGGCCCGTTCTTTACATAACGTGTGAAAGTGTGTTCCTTGGATGACAATAGTGAAGCTGAGGGAAATGATTTCCAGATATGTGTTCAGTTAAATACCACCAGTACGTCTTCTTATCTCAATGTCTCAGTTGTGCTCACAGCCTCTTTGCATCACTAAACTGGTGACATCAGGGAATCAGTCAGGGAGCATTTGACGGGTTTAGAGAACATTGTTTTGAATCTTCAGGAAGTGTATGAACCACTTCCTGCCGAGGACCCTTCATTGTGTACGCTGTTAATGTGTGTTATCGTGCGTTAACCCGGTGTTTGTGCCTCTTCCTCTGTGCAGAGTCATGAAGCTGCTCCTCCTGCTGGCAGGTAAGCAGCATCGCAGGCTTCACTGTGACAAACAACATGTGTTTGAAAGGCATTATGAATGCATTTCAAAGTCAAGTCCTCTGTGCATAGAGTCACTGCGAGTGTGTAATAGCCCCGCACTACTCTACTGTCTTCTTTGTGCAAATAAAACAAGATAATGTTTGAATGATAGACTTTTAAAACATGAGCTCATCCATGAAATCAATATAAATCTGAACGGGTAGCTCTTATTCAACATTTTGATGGCTTCAGTTAATGAGGAGGTTAGCCTTCAACCACTTGTATTTATGAATGAAACAGAACCCAGATACCCTGTATACATTCACCCTGAAGGAGCACATGTTTTACAGAATAAATAAGTATATCATTATTCACTCATTGCACTGATGAGTGTCACTTCAAGTCAGAGGAGAGACTTCAGGGAACGATGAGTGTTCAGGTTGTTCTTGATGGATGTGTTTCTCCTGGAACTCCTGCAGTTGCTGCCAGCCAGATGGAGCTCTCTGCCTCTCTGACTGAATTTGTATGGGTCACTCTGAATGCTACTGGTGGAAACATCAGCATCAGCGACGTTCCCATCACTTTCTATGGAAAAACATACACATGGTTACACGTGAGTACAATGAACCCCTGCCTGTGTTTCCTGTGATCATCCAGCACACACACTGACTGCTGATGACTGGTATTATTACACATACTACACATACTACACATACTACACATACTACACGTACTACACATACTACAAGTACTACACATATTACACATAATAAAGGTATAGATATTGCACATAACTCACTGTTTAATATGTTATAACTCACAGTCCTCAGAATCAGTCACTAGTGTTTTTGTCTTGATCTTATTTATATATAGATGTAAGCGGTTTGTTACCTTTCAGCGTGTCAGCCTGTAAATATGGGAGCAAATGAATAATGACATGTTGCTAAAGGCAGAGAATGAATTGAGTATTACACACAAAGTTTAAAGTGTGTGCTTTTTGTGCCAGCTGTTATTTTGGGTATTATAAAATGATCATATTATTCAATATCAGACGCACTGATGCCCCTTTCACACCAACGCGGTTCCAGGGCCGGCTAGAGCCTGATAAGCACCGTTTTTTCCTGTTCACACCGCAGCGGAGCCGACTCTTTTCCCCGAAAACCGGTTCTTACCAAGCACCAAAAAATTGTCGGTCTAGAAGCAAGAACCGCATACGTCACGCTTATGTCGGAGGGGGGCGTGATTAACCTGAGCTAACAGTTTACGAGAGTAGCGCAGAGCAAAGTGACTAGAACGCAACCACACACTTATAAAAAAACACACTTTATAAAGTCAGGCAACACTAACCAGGCTTAGTCTGATTCTGTTTATTTGTACCTTACTTTGACCATCCGTTTGCTGTTATTGATCATTGTGGAGAGCAGGCAGACGTTTTGTTTTGTATTATAGCAGCTATCGGATGGAATCAATACATGGGCTGCACAAGTTGTCATGTCCGACTATCACAAGTAGAATCATAATGAAAAATACGCCGGTAAAATGTGCCTGTAGAAAACGGCTTATGCCACAATAGGATAGCAACAAATAGTCAAGATAGTCAGTTTAGCTTCGGTTGCTATGCTAACATCACCCATTTTATACCAGAGAAACTTTGATAACAGCGTTGTGATGCCAAACAGCGGGCAGCACTGCAGCGGTCAGTAAATGCCGCTGAAATACATTAATAAACAATTAACCACGGCACTCTGGAGAAAAGTATAAGGTTGGAGAAGTCGTTATTTAATGTAATCTGGCTTCGTATGATTAAAAGCAACATGATCATCGACCTGACGCAGTCCCCCCTTGTTGTTGTGAGTGCCGTTGGGGAGAAAATCAGCGACGTAAACGGTGACGTCATGACGCAGCAGCGGCAGCACCAGTCGGGCTCTGGGCGGTGTGAACAAAACGGGGGCTGAAAAGAAAAAACGGTTCCGAACCAGAAGAGCGCAAGAGGAGCTACAACGGGAACCGCGTTGGTGTGAAAGGGGCAACAAACAGGCTTGGTCCCATAATGCATCACTGTGAGTCTGGTCCTGAGCTGGAAGGTGAGCGTAACATTTCCCTCTGGGGTCTATGGGGTCTATGGGGTCAGGCACTGATCAGATCAGTTCAATGGAGTGGGGACAGATCAGTACTAGAGCCAACAGGAAGTGGTTTGGAGCAGCTGGACGCGTCTCTTTGATTCCACATGTGTCTCTGTATGAAAGGAGACATAAAGACTTGTTGGACAGTGGCTTGTAGAAAGGTTTTTTCCAAAGTGAGAGAAATGTTTTGATCTCATAATTGATCCTATCTTTTTTCTCCGTAGCTCAAAGCACACCTTGCAGCTCAGACATTTGAGGAGATGAAACGATGCTGTTCTGGAGCGAAAGCCTTCATATTGTTGTTCCTTTTTTTGTTTTTGCAGGTCAAGATCGGCAATAAGGTTGAAGTTTGTTTCAAAAATGACCCATCTGAGGACGACATTGACTGTATGGTGACCAACGAGGTGGCTTCAACCAAACTGATGTACCGTACGCATGTTTCGGAATTTCGCGCTGCCTATTATCTTTCTAACATCAAAGTCCTGGGACAGGGTGTCGTTCATCTCCAGTTCTTCAATGGTGCTACATTGAATGTGAGTCCTGATCCGATCCCTGTTACACACTGACTGGCTGTCCAGCTGTTTGTACAAAATGAACATTTCAAAGACATTGTGTGGCAAAGACAACTTCAAATCAAAGTTTATTTGTAAAATGTTGGAAGCATTTCCTAATATTTCTCTCTCTGTTCCTGCTTTCAGATGAAGTGGACATTCTCCAATTTTGGTTTACAAGCTGCTTGCTCTACAAATCACGCTTTTGGCCTTCCGTTTACTGATAGTTTAGTAAGTATGACATGAGGCTGTTACCTAACCCTAACCCTTCAGCCTCACCGATGTTTAGAGTTACCATTTGTCAGGTCCCGATACCAATGCAATGTTTTCCTGTTTGTTTCTGTGTGCCAGGGAAACTCATATCCTAAATGCTTTCTGTTAGAAAGCTGCTGTCTTCCAGCCTTCCTCACACTCACTCTGAATGAGAACTGATCCCTGAGAAGACTTCTGTACCCTAACCACCCTGAGAAATGAGAACTGAGGCTGTGTGTGATCCATTATTCCTTTGTATCACTATCAGACATCATTCATATGAATACAGAACCAGCTTTCAGTTCAGCATGGATAGGTGAATGGAGAAGATCAAGTGCAGTCTGTTTGCTCCTCTAAGCCTCTCCTTTGAAAACTCTCTTCTTATTTTCACTTCTAAACAGAAATAGGTGTCAGAAATAATGTCATACACAGCCTTAGAGTTTCAGGAAGCAGAAGTCACTCAGCATCATGTGTCTGAAGACAAAGAGAGTTCTTATCAGTGACACATGTAGCTGCTAGCATGCAGAGCTAACGGGGGCAGGCTGGACTCACAGCACCAGGGGCTGGTGGTTCTGCTCCTTCCTGCCCTCAAGTGGACAAAGGAGTTCATTAGAAATATCAATCTGGAATAATGAAGGAGCTCACCACTGCTCTCACTGTTACTTCATGTCCTAACATCGGAGGAAATATATCAGAAGTGGCATCTATAGAACACTTTCATTCATGTGTACAGTGTTGAGGTTACCTTTGTTTTCACTGATTGTATTTACTTGTTATTTTAAATGTGTTTTTAAGGTTAAAACATCTGTCCAGGGACTACAGCTGTAAAAGAGCCTCTTGGCTAACTCTGGCACATTTACAGAAATGGTTCTTAGTGTGCAATGTCCCTGTTAAATAAATAATATGCATACAAATATATTCTGTTTAATCCTTTACTAGAACATTTCTACAACAGTCGGTGGCACAGTGATGGATACCTGGGAGCCTGCTGGAGGTGTAGGTACTATTGATCGAGAACTGAGTGGATGCAGAGGCTCAGGTAAGCTGGTCTGGGGGTTCCCAAAGAAAGGGATCCTCTAAGTTAAATGTGATATTAAAACATGTCTGTTGTTTCCCTATCTTAAATTCTGCCTGTAGTTACTGAAGTGTAATATCATTACCTCCATTCTCCTCCAAGGTGGCGCGATAATGCCGGGTTCAGAGATGCCCAATATAGGGCCCAGCGCAGAGCCCTGCTCTGTTGAACTCTGTTCTCTGTCTGCAGTCCTCTCTAATGACACTGCATGTGGGCCCGAGGAGGTTTGCCAAGCGGACAACACGTAAATATGTGCTCTTTATATCAGGAATAAAGGTCTGACTGATTTGAATAAAGTGTCCCATGTGATCGAACCCTCCATGAGAGAGTGAGGATATTATCCACCTGAGGATTATTGCAGTTATTGATGAATCTGTTCCTATTTCTATTACCCCTTTCCACCAAAGCAGTTCCAGGGTCAGTTCAGAGCTAGTGCCCGATAGCTCACCAGTCCTTTCATTGTTTCCATGAGCAAAACTGGTTCGTGTTAGGAACCAGAGCACTGCTGAACTGGAACCAAGAACCAGATCTGTGTGGAGGCTGGGTCAGATCACTAGAGCCGTAGAGATACGTTCTGTTGCTTTAGTGACAGTCAGCAGTGAATTACTGACTGTCACTAAAGCAACGGTGAATGCCTCTGAATCCTAGTGGGAACAGTTCAACCTGGATCTGAAGAAGAGCACCGAGAGCACAGCTGCAATGCTGCACGCCATTGTTGTAGTTTTTGCCTAAGCTGGCTTTGCTGGAAAAAGCAGGGACGTAAACAGTGCTGTCAAATGAACAGGTCATTGGTCCAACATTGAGAACCAACCATCCGAACTAACACGGTTCTCCTTTCAGTGGAAAGGGGTTTTAAGTCCATCCATTATTGTTTCTGATCAGCTGGAGAATGGTTCAGTCTATAAATCCTAAAGAACGTTCTCCACTTATTTCCCATTGCACTTGTTTGACATGGTGGGCCTCATGACGGACACTTTATGAAAAGAGATCCAGATGGATGCACAGCGTCTCGGTGTGTGTGCAGTGTTCCTATAAAGTGATCCTTTGACCTATCCTCCATGCTTTACACATGTTTCAATCCTCCGAGGCGAGCTGCATCAGTATTGTAGTGTTGCGTCCATAAATCAGACCAAACCGCAGATATCCGGGTTGTCCCAAGTAGAGTTGAGCATTACCCATAATGCAACATAATATCACTGTATGGCCTGTTTTATAAAATACTTCAAGATGTCTAGTATTCCACACGTATTTATGAGAGATATTATTATATTTGTACGTGTTTCACCGGCTGAATGTAACTTTACTGACCTTTCTGTGTCATATTGTGAACTTTGAGAAGGATTCATTTCCTATGAGTTTAGGATGAGTGTAAAGTATGTCTGTCTTTAAAAAGACCCAGACTGTGAGTCCCTCTCCATCTGTTCTTTTACATATCATATTCTATTTACATGTATATAGACTTTTTGCACTACTTTTTTTTTCTTTCTTTTTATTATATATGTTGCATCGTTGGAGGAGCTCAGGTCAGAAGAATGTCATCGCCATTTCTACACTGTAGCTTTGTGCATATGACAATAAAACCTTTGAATTGAATGTTGAATTGAATGTCCATCAGGTGCTCTATTCCTCCGGTGGTGTGCACGGTGACGGGCTCCACGGTGATCGGTTTCCACGGAGCAGTGCACTCTGTCCAGGATCGCTGTGCCTACAGTCTGATGGAGCCTGAAGGCAGCGCCAGCTTCAACCTCATGGCCGCTTTCAGGGAGCGCCGGCGTACAGATGTTCCTCTTCTGGACCACCTGATCCTGTCGCTGCCAGGTGTGACCATGTATCTGGAGCAAGGAGGAAGAGTTCGGGTACGTTAGCACGTTGTAGTTATGGGGGTGTTTGCTCAAGCAATGCTGATCAATTCCTGCTAGGAGTTAGTTTGTGGTGGTGTATCACAAACCCTCTGTGTGTGTGTGTATGTGTGTGCGTGTGCGTGTGCGTGTGCGTGTGCGTGTGCGTGTGCGCGTGTGTGTGTGTGTGTGTGTGTGTGTGTGTGTGTGTGTGTGTAGGTTGGTGGTGAAGCCCTGGTGCTCAGCAGCACAGCTCAGCTGATGCACGGCGTGGAGCTCTTCAAGGACCAGACTGGAGTCACTGCTAAGTTCCCGTCCTCCAAAATGACTCTCTTTTTTGATGGCAACAGCGCACATGTGACAGGTACAGAACAGTACTTCCAATCTGGACTGAATATTACATATTTATTTCTGAATGACAGCTTTAATTGTACCCTCACATCCACCAGGAGTTCCTGAAGCTGTAGAGGGTTTGTGTGGCAGCCCCTCCAACTCCAGCTGGACCACCACCCCGACTGCAGAGAAGTCCTCTCTCAGCCTCCCTGGGTACCGCTCAGTCCGACTGATATGACCTATTTGTCATAATGTGGATTAGGTTTCAGATGTAATGTGATCTTTGTCTCCCTCTAGCTGTGAGATTCAATACCAGGACTCAGTCGACAGCGCCATCAACTGCAACCGCTCCACCGACCAGTAAGAGCTGAGCCATGAACACCCTCGTCTTGTCATGTCATATAAGCAGCGTTGTTTCTGCAAGATCTACCAATGTAACACGGAAAACTCTTCCCTCTGAACAGCTGTAATCTCATGAGGCAGCCTCCCTTCTCAGCCTGTCACGAGCACACCGACCCAGAGCCGTACATCAGCGCCTGCACACACACTCTGTGCAGATACCCGTCAGTGGATGGGGTCGACTGCCACTTTTTGGAGGCTTACGCCAAGGCCTGCAACCTGGAATTCAAAGTGACCCTGGAGGACTGGAGGTCAACTACTGGCTGCTGTAAGATTCTCTATTTCCATTCGAGGATATTGCACTGGAACTCGTGCAGTCAAGCAGACATATTTGATCAAATGTATCCTAAAAGTAACCAGAAGCCAAGGCTCCCTAATAAATGGGAAAAATAGTAAAGAAGCAGATAAATGAATGAAGTTAATTTAAAAGTAAATCATTGTGTGTGTGTGTGTGTGTGTGTGTGTGTGTGTGTGTGTGTGTGTGTGTGTGTGTGTGTGTGTGTGTGTGTGTGTGTGTGTGTGTGTGTGTGTGTGCAGCCCCCCCCCCTCTCTGTCAGCAGCCCTGCAGTGATCATGAGTTCTGTGGAGAGGAGCACGGTTCGACCCGCTGCTTCTGTCGGGCTCTGTTCGCCTCCAAGTACAAAGCCACCAAGTCTTTAGGTACGGAGCATATCACACCGTTTCCTCTGCTTGCACTGGTCTGAATTAGGGATTTGGTTATTTACCACCAGCCTGCTGCTAACAGCGGTTTTGATGCTGAGCTCTGCCAGAAATAACATATTGTTTAGTGTGGAATTAGAAACAGCTTTCATTATAGTGCCAAATACATTCTGTCAGTAACTCCACTACCCGTTATAGTCCACGTTGAAGTGTCGGTGTGTCGTTGAAGTGCCGGTGTGTCGTTGAAGTGTCGGTGTGTCGTGGAAGTGTCGGTGTGTCGTTGAAGTGTCGGTGTGTCGTTGAAGTGTCGTTGTGTTGCAGGCGATCCCACGGTCTGCAGGCAGGACTCGGCCTCTGTGGTTCTGGCTGGATGTCTGCTGGACGACAAAGGCATCGACTTCTCCCGCTTACAGCTCAAAGACCCCAGCTGCAAGGGCCACATGGACCCCCAGAGCCACCTGGTGACCTTCAGCTTCGACAGCAGCGCCCCCTGCGGGACGGAGGTCATGGTGCGTGGTTATCACTTCCTCTAGACTCATGGCGGGTTATCTTCAGAGCGTTTTGGGGCAAACGAGAAGCATTTAAAGCTGCTTTAACTGAGTCCTGTTCAGTTGGTTATTGACACAGCACTCAGAAGAGCTGGAAGGTTGTTCTGCCTCTTTATGATCGATGGAAGGGAAGGCACAGGCTTCAGCCACCCTGTTTAACTTGAATTAAATACTGGGAGAGCATCTCCTCTAGTTCCCTTTATTGATTATAGACCATGTGATTTATGACCTGGATGGTGTGGACTGTGAACTCCAACACTGACCGTTCTCTGCCAGGATGGAACCGTCAGCAGTGAGCACTGGAATAATGTGGCCGTTAAATGAATTAATTTTCTGTCACATTGCAGAGAAACAACAGCCAGACCGTCTACAAGAACTCCATCATGTACTCAAACAGCTCATCAGACGGAGTCATCATCCGCAGAGACCAGTTCCAGATCGACTTCTCCTGCAAGTACACACAGCCAGAGGTCAGGAGTGTGTCCTTCAGGATCCAAGACAGGTGAGCGTCACCTGGTCCTTAATGTACCACAGCTCCAAACGTCACACTGCTAAACTGTGTGTGTGTGTGTGTGTGTGTGTGTGTGTGTGTGTGTGTGTGTGTGTGTGTGTGTGTGTGTGTGTGTGTGTGTGTGTGTGTGTGTGTGTGTGTGTGTGTGTGTGTGCAGCTCTGTGGTGCAGCAGCTTGTATCTGGAGTGTGGAACTACACTCTGACGATGAGCTCCTTCAGCCACGCCGGCCTACTGCAGCCGGTCGGCCCGAACACGGAGATCCTGCTGAACCAGACGGTCTGGCTGCATGTGGAGGCGGTGGGGCTGGACGCCAACATGGTCGCCATGGTGACACACTCCTGCTGGGCAACCAATCAGGCATCACCTGACAGTAATCTGCGATATGACCTCATCATCAACGGGTGAGGACACAAACTCTGACAGTTAGAACAAAATAAACTCTGACTGTTAGAACAAAATAAACTCTGACTGTTATAACAAAATAAACTCTGACTGTTAGAACAAAATAAACTCTGACTGTTAGAACAAAATAAACTCTGACTGTTAGAACAAAATAAACTCTGAGACTTCATCTTGTGTATTTCCTGTCTCCGGGCAGATGTCCGAACCCTGCTGATGATACGGTGCAGATGCAGGGAAACGGACAGGGAACGTCCAGCGTTTTCTCCTTCAACATGTTCGAGTTCTCTGGAGGAAGCAGTGAAATCTACCTGCACTGCAAACTGGAGCTGTGCCCCACACAGGGCCAGGCCTGCACTCCGGTACACACAGAGTACTAATACACAGAGTACACAGAGTACTAATACACAGAGTACTAATACACAGAGTACTAACACACAGAGTACACATACACAGAGTACTAATACACAGAGTACTAACACACAGAGTACTAATACACAGAGTACACATACACAGAGTACTAATAAACAGAGTACTAACACACAGAGTACTAATACACAGAGTACTAATACACAGAGTACTAATACACAGAGTACTAACAAACAGAGTACTAACACACAGAGTACTAACACACAGAGTACTAACACACAGAGTACTAACACACAGAGTACTAACACACAGAGAAGTGAAGCTCACTTCCTGTCTGTGAAGCTAACTTCCTGTCTGTGAAGCTAACTTCCTGTTTGTGTACAGAGCTGTGGGGGGGCAGCTCGCAGGAGGCGCAGATCTGCTAAATACGCTGATGGGAACGCGGCCCTCATCACTATGGGATGGAGAAACTGAAGAGCTTTGCATGGTAGGCAGAACCTTCATTTGTCCTAACGAGTTCCTTAATTAACACAATGTTTAAGGAGTTCCTTAATTAACACGATGTTTAATTAGTTCCTTGATTAACACGATGTTTAACGAGTTCCTTGATGAACACAAAGCAGCAAAGTATAAACCATGACTCAGCAGTGTCTCTGTGTTCTCAGCTGATTCCTGACGGTGGAAATGAAGGTCTTGTTGCTGTGAAACTGAGCCGGCACATTATCTGAGATTATTCCTGAGGACTCCAGTTATTCTGAGTTTTAACTTCTTTATGATGTGGGGGAAATAATGAAAAGGGGTTATTTTATTATGTGCACTAGTATATATATAATTTCTTCTTTAATATACTTTCTGTTTGTAAATGTGCACAGCCTGAAAGCTACCTGAGTGTTAAAGAAGGGAAACAGGAAGTGAATGAGAACTGAAATGTGGATGACTACCCAGGAAGAGGATCAGATCAGATGTAATTCCTCAGAGCACGCTGTTGGACTTTTATTATGATTGTATTACTATGAGCAAAACATGTATTACTTTATTTAGTCCAATGATAATAAGATTGAGATATGTAACATCTTTAGGGGAATAATAGAAGTGAAGCATACAGCAGCATTACGCAACAACATCCCCTCCAATGAAACACACAGGATCAGCTGATACGAGGAACTCCTACACAACACAAGTCATTCAGTGAAAGATCACCTCTCTGCCATTAGACCCAGATTAGATGAGACGTATTACCTGTCACTGCTGGCAACATCAGGACATATACGAGTACTGCTCAGATCAAATGACGGTATAGCCAAACATCGATGTATTATTTACAATGATCCCAATCCACAGCAACATGGTCTAAAACTCTACGCTCATTTGATATATTTGTTTTTCCAAGAATAAAATGAAGCGCAGATCAAAAATGAAAACACGAAGAAGCACAAAACGTCTTAACTTGAGACGTTGTGAGTTTTAAAGAAGTGAATTATTATCAGACTGAAGTCATTCCCAATGGAGAGGTTGTTGCACGCTGTTGTACCTTTACTAGGGTTGTATTACTATGAGCCAAACATACTTTACTTTATTTAGTAATACATGGATTATATTTAGAAATGTAACATCTTAATATGTGTCCGATGAAGAAAAATGATCAGAAAAGGGTTTTATTAGGATGATTTTATTACGAAACGCAGAAAGGTTAGGTTTAGTCCACCAAGTGATGTGACGTATGAATACCATTCAGTCATTGAGCAATTATATCTATAAATGTAACAATTAGATTTAGAAATGTAACACCTTTAGTGAAATAACAGAAGTGTCTAATGAAGGGTTTAGAGGGGTTCACTGGTATATATATATGTATATATATATAATTTATTCTTTAATATACTGTCTGCTTTTAAATGTGCACAGCCTGAAAGCTACCTGAGTGTTAAAGAAGGGAAACAGGAAGTGAATGAGAACTGAAATGTGGATGACTACCCAGGAAGAGGATCAGATCAGATGTAACTCCTCAGAGCACGCTGTTGTACTTTTATTGTGATTTTATTACTAATGGAACCAAAAACAATTAATAAAGTGAGTGGGAAAAAGAAACATGAGTCTCAGTCGTATATTAATTGAGAGAGAGTGTGTGTGAGTGTGTGTGTGTGTGTGTGTGTGTGTGTGGTGTGTGTGTGTGTGTGTGTGTGTGTGTGTGTGTGTGTGTGTGTGTGTGTGTGTGTGTGTGTGTGTGTGTGTGTGTCTGTGTGTGTGTGTGTGTGTGTGTGTTAATGTTTGATCAGCACTGCCTATTTCAACACAGTCTCACAGCATTTCATGTTATAGTCACGAAATTAATCTATTGATTCGTGTTCACCAACACGATTTTCACATTTTTTTCATCTCACACAGAACGATTTTAAAAGCAATGTAAATAAGGAAAAAGAGAACAAAAAATACAGATTTCAGTATTCTGATACAGAACGATTTTAGAAGCAATATATTTCTATTGGTAGTATGTTTCGTGCCTGCACCAAATAATAACAAATTAGAAGGAAAAAATGTCCTTCTAAAAAATGTCAGTATTCTGAGGCTCTGAGCCCCATTTATTTTCCTCGTGGACGGCAAAAAAACTCCAACATTATACAATTTAAAATAAAAGGGTTAGGGTTAGGCTTAGGGTAAGATATTGAGTAAGAAACATTTGTTATGTACCACACAGCTTCTGGTCTTCCAAAACCCGTCCGGACAACAAAGTGACACAAATGATGGTGGGCCAGCCCTGGACAGTCCCTCAGTTCTGGGGGGCGCTGTCTCAGGAAGCAGGAGCAATAGGGGCGTTACCCACTCTGGGCCAACCTCTCCAGGCTTGGCTCCTGAGAGGGACAGGCTGAGACGGGGTGGACTGTCTGACAAAGTTATACAGACTATCCAGGCAGCAAGAGCAGGATCCACCACAGCCTGTTACAGGACGAAGTGGTTGGGATTCCAGCGGTGGTGTGAAGAAAGGAGTCTAGAGCCTCTATCCTGTACACAGCACTGAGACTGCTCTTGTAAAGGTCTTCAAAGACATCCACTTAAACACAGACAGTGGCAGAACTTCAGTGTTAGTATTATTAGATCTCAGTGCTGCGTTTGACACTGTTGACCACAACATATTACTAGACCGACTAGAAAACTGGGTGGGACTTTCGGAAACAGTTCTAAATTGGTTTGAATCCTACTTAAAGGACAGAAAAAACTTTGTTTCTATAGGTAAATACACATCTGAGTTGACAAATATAACATGTGGGGTTCCTCAAGGCTCCATCTTGGGGCCTCTTCTCTTTAACCTCTTAACCTGTTAAGCCCGAGAGACCCCGGTACCGGGGCACTGCCGCAACATCTTGCAGGAAACAGTGTCTGAGGGCATGTTCATTTAACCTGTTAAGCCCTGAGCCTGTTTTTCAGGTCTCAGGCTCGAAAATGACATTCCCAGAACAAATGACCATATCTTCCCTTCTAAAAGGGTTAAATTAATAATCTTTTTTCTCAAAGTAATGATAAACCTGTGAGTTGGATGTAGAAGAGTCAGAATCAATATAGATGTTTTTTATTTTAAAGAAAATTCAGATTTGACATCGTAAAAAACTGTAAATTATAGTAAATTATTTTTTACTTATAGTGAAAACCACCCTTGGATGATGGGTTAGTAGACTAAAAGCTTTAGGAATCCAAAGTACAACATATAATAAGTACCCTGTATCAAGATTGATGCAAAACAAGTGACATTTTACCTTTTCAGAGAGATTTAGCAAAAAGAAACCACTTCTGGGGTCATTTGGGTGGATTTTCCATATCTCTGGCTTCCCTTGCTCGATTTTGATGGTTGACACCTCTTTCTGACCGTTAGAGCCAATAGAATCGAAGGGGGAGTCCCCCACACACACATGTTGTGAAGAGAAAAGGTGGGGGCTTCGCGCATGTAATTTTCCATCAGAGTGAACCTATCTCTAGCTTTGACATCTGGAAACGGAAAAGCGGTTTTAATGCTTATGGATTATCAGAAATCATTTAAAAGGGACACAGACACATTGGATTAACCTATGGATTAACTTCAGCAGCGTCTTTATCGTTTTAATGCCATTGAAGACCACTTTGGAGAGACTACAGAGCCAAGGTAAAATTTTAGCATTTTTAGCTACCTAGCGTCACCTGTTTTGATGTCCGTTTTTGCTAATAACGTCGCAAATACCTGTAATTCAGTGGTAATGTCGGTGTCAATCGATTCTGTGTCACCTCACGATGTGAAACGATGTGTTGGATGTGGTGAAAAGATAAATAATAAGGTTTTGTGAGTGATTTTTGGTGCAGTAAGGTGTTAGCATTTTTCGCTCGTTGCTAATTCAGAGGCTCAGTGTTAGCATTGTGGGTTTTCTTTTGAAAAAAAAAAAAAAATGATCAGTTAGATGAGTTTCTTCCCGTTACATGGATATAAAACATTCATAGTTTTATTAAATGAACATGCCCTCAGACACTGTTTCCTGCAAGATGTTGCGTCAGTGCCACGGTACCGGGGTCTCTCGGGTTAAACAGGTTAATAAACTATGAATGTTTTATATCCATGTAACGGGAAGAAACTCATCTAACTGATCATTTTAATTTATTTTTCAAAAGAAAACCCACAATGCTAACACTGAGCCTCTGAATTAGCAACGAGCGAAAAATGCTAACACCTTACTGCACCGAAAATCACTCACAAAACCTTATTATTTATCTTTTCACCACATCCAACACATCGATTCACATCGTGAGGTGACACAGAATCGATGGGTACCCTCATTATCACTGAATTATACGAAATCGCGACGTTATAAGCAAAAACAGACATCAAAACATTTGACGCTAGGTAGCTAAAAATGCTAACAAGGTTACCTTGGCTCTGTAGTCTCTCCAAAGTGGTATTCAATGGCATTAAAACGATAAAAACGCTGCTGAAGTTAATCCATAGGTTAATCCAATGTGTCTGTGTCCCTTTGAAATGATTTCTGATAATCCATGAGCAATGAGACTGATAATCCATGCTTTTCTGTTTCTGGATGTCAGAGCTAGAATGTAGCTTCACTCTGATGGAAAATTACATGCGCGAAGCCCCCACCTTTTCTCTTCACAACGTGTGTGTGTGGGGGACTCCCCCTTCGATTCTATTGGCTCTAACGGTCAGAAAGAGGTGTCAACCATCAAAATCGACCAATGGGTTCCAGAGATATGGAAAAAAAAACATTTCCACCCAAATCACCTCAGAGGTGGAGTGTTTTTGGCTAAACCTCTCTAAAAAGGTCAAATGTCACTTGTTTTGCATCAATCCTGATACAGGGTACTTATTATATGTTGTACTTTTGGATTTGGAAGCTTTTAGTCTACCTTACCATCATCCAAGGGTGGTTTTCACTATAAGTAAAAAAGAATTTTTGGACGGACACTATAATTTACAGTTTCTTACTGTGTAAAATCTGAATTTTCTTTAAAATAAAAAACATCTATATTGATTCTGACTTTTTTACATCCAACTCACAGGTTTATCATTACTTTGAAGAAAAAGATTATTAATTTAACCCTTTTAGAAGGGAAGATATGGTCATTTGTTCTGGGAATGTCATTTTCGAGCCTGAGACCTGAAAAACAGGCTCAGGGTTTAACAGGTTAATAAATGGGTGAAAATTGCTTGTGTCCATAATGGGCAGCATTCATACATACCCACATGACAGCTAAGGTCAGAAGAGCTTTATTTAACAGCTGGTCTTATGTCTGTGACCCCTCCTGTTGTTAATTGATAAG